GGGTACAGGAGACGACAGCATGAAACATGTCTTCGTAACCTAGCTAGCTTGTCAACAAATACGGCAATAAGTTGCATCTGCTTCCAATCTGCGCATCTTCCAATATAATTACCCATCGTGGCAAGACCTTCTCTAGCTAATTAACTGCCAAGCAAAGATTTTAATGTTTTGTGACACTCGGGTTGCCCATAAACTCGCCCATATATTATATATATTACGTTCTTCATTTGTCGATGAACTAGCTTAGATGATCGATCCCAGTTCGGTTGCATTCATGCATATGATTGATCGATTGATTGGTCAGGGCCAGACAATAAGCGTTGCGGACGCCTATCTTTTAAAAATGCCAAGCTAGGAAATCTTCTCTTCTGCCATGTGGCAATTTAATCTTCAGAATTTCATTAGCATCTCATATGGAGAAAAAACATGATTGACTAGATTCACATCCCAAGGATTGGTCTCTTGATTGATCAGTTGTTAAACCCACCACCTAATGGCTCTCTTGATTGATCAGTTGTTAAACCCACCACCTAAGGGCCGGTTTAGTTCGCAAAAATGAAAATTTTAGAGTGTCACATCGGATGTTTGATTGGATGTCAGAAGGAGTTTTCGGACACGAATAAAAAAACTAATTTCATAACTCGCTTGGCAACCGCGAGACGAATCTTTTGAGCCTAATTAATCCGTCATTGCCACATGTGGGTTACTGTAGCACTTATGGCTAATAATGGACTAATTAGACTCAAAAGATTCGTCTCGCAATTTCCATCATAACTGTGCAATTAGTTTTTTTTTCATCTATATTTAATTCTCCATGCATGTGTCTAAAGATTCGATGTGATATTTTTGAAAAAAAATAGTAACTAAACAAGACCTAAGTCACGCGCAACTCCCACTTTGTCGTGACAACCTACGTACGATCGGTGTGGATTGTCGGGGGTATCCACTGATCCTTCCATATTTGGACCTCTCTACCATCTCCAATTCTCAAATTAAACCTTTCTTTAGTAACTCAAGCCCATATCATACTTGGTCCCACATATCATACATACATTATCTCTTGTAGTTTATGTTGTAGCTGGTTACAAATCTGTAGGCCGCTTCTCTTATCTCTCTTCATTTATCTTTGATATGTGTTTTATAGCTGGCTTATAATCTGTTATTGTATCTGCTCTTAACCATTTGTATTTTATGGTGCCATCATTTCTAAAGATTTCGAAGCTTATCGTGTACATGAAGCAGGGAACAATGATCGATGTAGATCAAGAATTAGATGACTCTGAGTCTGAGTGTATAATTAATGAGTGAAAAATTAAGTGAAACCAGTGCATGTAGGGGTGCGGCTAATGGGCGGCTAGGCTGGGCGCGCGGCGGCTAATACTACTAGGACTACTGCGTACTATTTTTACTATACTACCACTATAAAAATATATACGAAGTTTTATACGTATATATTTTTTTATGTATAAAAATATATACACATATACAAACTTTATATATGATGTATACCAATTTTATATACGTGTATATAAACTTTATATATATATATATATATATATATATATGTATGTATACAAAGTTTGTATATATATATATATATATATATTAAAAAACCCAAAAAAACAGAAGAACCAGAGAAAAACCGAAAGAAAAAACCTAAAAACCAGACACGTGTAATCGAAAAAACAAAAAAAAACATGTATACAAAGTTTGTATACGTACGAATATAAAGTTGGTATACGTACGTATATAAAGTTATATATATTTATAAAGTTATTTGAATCTCTTTATAACGCATTGAACCCGTTAATTTTCACTGATACCCGGTTTTGCCTAGCACAAATTGTAAAGCAGATGAACGGTGGATGATTTTGGAGCCTGGGCACCATGGTGTCCCAATTATTATTATTGTTGTTAATATATATATATATATATATATATATATTAAAAACCAGAAAGAAAAAAAAAGACACGTGAGCTCTCAGCGGCTGCCCCCCCCCCCTCCCCCCTCCCCCTCTCCCCCTCCTCTCCTCTCGTCCCGCGCGCTCGCTTTTTAGAGTTTCCGGTGCATGTAGTGTATTACTGGCCTGTGTTCTTTGACTTCTTTCCAGATTTGAAATTTCTACTATAGGTAACAATAATTTTGGTATTTTGAAGTGAAACCGGCTCACTCTCGGGGCGCTGTAGATCGTAGCCGTCCGTCCGATCGGATCCATCTCGATCGAAGCCTTTGCCAATTGCCACAACACTTGCTCCAGCGTTGTACAAGTCACAATGTTACGAATACGAAGTGGGTTTGCCAACCGTACGTGGTATGCAGCAGGCCAGGTAGCCGCGCGCTGCACGCCAGTTAATACTAGGAAATTAATTAGGGAACTGCTGCCATTGAGGTATCCGGATACAAGACTAATAATTAAAACCAGGATCTTACATATATATATACACACACATCAGGTGTGGCTCGTGTGCCACCAGATTCAATTTGATTGAGAACTTGAGATCCGCGCGGTTAACAAAGACAACAACTAGCTTACACACTTGTGAGCGATGGACAAGAATCTCACCTGCCGCGGGCGCTTCAGGTATGTAAACTCATCCGATATTTCATGCAAAGAACATAGGTCATGTAAATAATATTTTCTCCATCTCAAAATATAAAGGATTTTAGGTAGAATACATGAATCTGGACATAGGATATGTCACATCCATCCAAAATCTCTTATATTTTAGGACAGAGAGAATACTATGTATTAAAGATAATTTTAGTGATCCTTTTGCTATAATAATGCCATCTAATTAGTAGGTTATGTGAATAATACTCTCTGTGCTGAAATTTAACAATTTTTAGCTCTCTATTTGAACAAAACTAAAATATATTATAATTTGAAACGGATGTGGTACTACTGTGTATAAAAAGATACTGTACTATGATAAGTTGCATGAAAATCTAACACTAGTATGAGGCTTCGTAGTTTGCGCATGCAAGTCGCGGAGGGAAGTCACGCGCAGGTTAATTGACACGAGTCAGACTCCCTGTTGTGGTGCAGCATAACGGTGTTTCTTTTCCAGAAGTCAAACCAGCTAGTTTTTCGATTTAATTTCCATTAGCACTGCTTTCTGAACTGCAAAATAATTCCAATATATTTTTTTAGAAAATCATATAATTTACTTTTGAAAATTATAATAGCTAATATTCCCTTCGTCCTAAAGTATAGCAAGTTTTGCCCAAATTTATAGCTAAAACTTGCTAAACCTTAGGACGGAGGTTGTAATTAATTATCACTAATAGGTTTTTTTTCGTTTCGTGTACGGCTGAAAATTAAATCTCATCCTAGCTGCCCATACGAATGCATGCATCGGCCCTATGCATACCCACGTTGACGAAAGCTTTTAAAAACTTCATTTGAAAGTTTGAAATTTTTAGTTAAAAGTTCAAATTTTTGGTAAAGTTTTCAAAAAAAAATCATTTTTTTCCAAATTTGAGTTGGATGTTTCGAAAATTGAATTGCAAGTTCTAAAACTTAAGTTGAAAGGATCAATTTTGTTGGTAGAAAGTTTACTTTGAATTTTTCTAATTCGAAATAAAAACTTTTAGTTGAAAAGTCTTTATTGAAAGTTTTATTCAAATTTTGAGAGAGCTTAGAAATAACTACAAAACTATATAGAATTCAAAAGCTATTCAAACTTTCAAAATAGAAATTTTAAATAATTTCCCATCTATTCTAGCCACTTAATATTCGTCCCATAAGGCCCAAAACGCGGCAGTAGCCATGTCTCGCGTGCAAAAAACACGTTGAGAGAATCCTGTTCGACATTTTTGTTGCGAGTCGCGACGCGCGCGCGCAAATTAGTTCTTCTGAACAAAATGCATGTTGAAAAGCATATCCAACATTTTTTTGTCTCAAAAAACACGGTATGATTAGATTTGTCTTTTTTGATATTCCCTCCTTCTCTAAATGTTTGACGCCATTGACTTTTTTAAACATGTTTGACCGTTCATCTTATTTAAAAACTTTTATGAAATATGTAAAATTATATGTATATATAAAAGTATATTTAACAATGAATCAAATGATAGGAAAATAATCAATAATTACTTAAATTTTTTGAATAAGACGAACGGTCAAATATATTTAAAAAAGTCAACTGCGTCAAACATTTAGGGATTGAGGGAGTATATGATATGCTTTAAGTTTATAATAAATGAAACCACATCCTCTCTATTTTCTTATTTCCTCTCTCAATTTTCTTGTTTTTTTTTTCAGACAAGGGAAGACTGGTTTTAAGATTAAGAAAAAGAAGTTTAGGCTATGTGTTCGCGATGAGCATGGCACCTGGGTCTGCAGTGAACATGACACCATGGCTAAAACAACGTCACTGGGGCGCGAAGTATCGCTGCAACTGGAAAAAATGATACTGGGGGATTACTCCTCAAAACTTAAGATGTTAGGTATGCTTAAGTGGACAACTTTTAAAGACCAGCGATGCGGTATAAATCACTTGATAAAAAATATTAAAAATAAACTCAAACGGTACAAGTATCGTCGATTGGAACGAGGAATCTTCTACTTGACACCATCTGCTACAGTGAACAGCCATTTATACCACATGCCACTCAAAGAAGCATTGGTGAGAACAAAACTAGATTTACGAAGGCGAAAGGAAGTATTAGATAGATACAATAGCTCGGAGGGATCAAAATTCCGTAGTGGTGCAATGGTTTCACCTATGACCAAGTTGTCGATATGCATCCTGTCTTCGGTGATTTTAGCTTATATGATAGTATTCTTTTAAAGTTAATTGATGTACTGTAGAGTGTTTGTAACTTGTTTATATCATTGTGAAGGCAAGTTCTTTCTTCTATTTAAGTTGAATTGCAGCCTATAAATCGAACACCTAATCTCCCCTATTTATGGATTTGTCACGTTGGGCATGTTTTTATCTCACACTTAGCATAGAATGTGTGCCTGGGGTGTTTCAGACGAAACATCAGTAGCCCCCATCCTGGCAAATCACACTAAAATAGCATTTCATCGGTAAAAAAAAAAGTATTAGGAACGACAGAAATTTTGGGTTAGGCCAAAAACAATATCTTCGGTACAAGACCAGACTACATGCACCACCAACATGCTCTTTTCACAAGAGGTACTGCAGTGGCACACGCCATTAAAACAACAGCACATCATTGGTCAGATTGTGCGTCAAAGTTGACACGAGTAGCAAAATGGTTTATCGTATTGGGTGCAGCTTTTGAAGATCTAAGCATTGCAACCTGCAAAATAGATCAAAATATGCTATATCAAATGATTGGCCCAAAACTCCAGACAGTTTAGTAAACTCAACTTTTCACATAGAATGGGAAGCCCCTAATACTACCTTAGGACTGTTCATATTGCTTCCGAGATAACCAACACCAAATGAAGGGGAGGAATAGGCAGCAACAAGTTCAGCGGCTCCCAATGCAGATACCTCCCCTCTCTGCAGAATGTTATATTGTTAAATCAAAGATTATCCATGCAAAACCCAAGGAGACGTATCAGCAAAGTACCACCTTTAGAACATCAGCCTGAATTAGCAACAACCCAGCGCCTGTATCATGAGACATCTCGCTGCTGCTTTGAACCGCTTGGCGCAGAACTTTGGTACAAGCAGAAGCAGGGCCAGATTGTATCCTGAGAAAATACAAATTGAGTTCCAACCAAAAGAGAATATGATGTTGAATGTAACGAAATTATGGTAATAGATTATGTAGAAAGGTTAGGAGTCCATAAGCATGGACTGCCCTAGATCATGTTATGGCCAACAGGAATGACAGAACTGGCTAGATCAAGACATCAAGTGACGGCAAACAACAGTGCTCAAACTGTAGATTAAGATAGCAAAGCTGAAGCCAGTGTAAATATGATGCAAGCAGTCCTACATGTTTGCAAATTCATTGAGGCTGAATGACATGGTGAGAATTGTATAGTGCAGAACTGTATATCAATAAGAGCAAATTTGTAGAGATGAGCATACAATGATGATGAGATACAACATTCACGTGCAGCAAATCCTCTAATCAAGTGTTCACCGGCTCCAGTTGCACAACACCCAACTATAAACGGTGTGCCAAAGGGCCCTTTGGATGAGGCCCAGCACCCAGACCCATACATAGCAGCCAAACCAACCCGTCCATCTACCTGCAAGAAACCAATGCTTATTGAAGGCCTGGGGAATCTCTATGCAAAGGCATCATACAAGAAATATAAATAAAAGAGTCCTCCTCAAACAAATTTAAGTATCATACAATGAAAAAAATGACCACTGGACCTTTAGTGCAATGCCACCACTGGATGCTCCTGATGCTATATTTCCATAAGCATCAACACAAACAGCACCAACAGTATCCATCACGCAGTCTTGATCATCCTCCATGATTGATCGTGTGATCATCTTCATCTTCTTTACACCAGTAATATCCTCAGCTTCAGCTCCTAAAATGAAATGGCAACATGTGATGTGGACTGGCCAAGTACGTTATTACATATACTGATGCACACAGAAAGCACAAGCAAATAATGAGCAGTACCACAAGCCTGGGACCTAGTGCTGCATATTTGAGTGTTGAATTATATATATTTGAAAGGAATCTCGTACAGACATTAGCATCTAGATGACCGTTTATGGAGGCCAAAAATCATGCAGATGAACACAAGAGAATGCCGGCATACAGAAGAACACGCAATAGCATATGTAGCATAGACAACTATTGGAAGACCTTGTGAAAAGGAGTGGTGTGCATTTGCATGAATTTAACACATATACGAGAATAAATTAAACTGCAATTAAGTTTTAGAAGATACTTCAACCAAAGAAGCGTTGTGGATATGATAAATAACCACTTAATCAATATAGAAGTGATTAGAGATACTAACACACAGATGAAATAAGAGCAACAGTAAGGGAGAAAAAAGACCTGGTGCTTCCAACTGTACTGAACTAGATTCTGAACCAGAACCAGTGCTATGATTAACTGATTCCTTGGCACTTGCAAGCAATGATCTGTATTTTCCCCACTGTGCTTTTGCACTCTCAGTCACCAACCACTATTTGAGAATATACCAAGAACGGATTTCAAAACAAGTACAAATGCAGACTTGGATGGCACAATTCACATAAAGAAGAGGGGACCCACACTATTTCCCTCTGATGTGGCTTCAGGTAGGTTCAACCCCTTCGATTTTGCCCACTGGCATGCTCCTTCACCAACCAAAAACCTAAAGCCCCAAAGAATAATTCAGCTATAAAGAGCTTTAGCTAAGACATATGAAAGGTTTAGACATAGTGGATGACTGCATGATATATTATCTATCATACATGGATTATGAAAAGATAGCCATTATGCCTTGTTCCATTCATAATTTTGCAGTATAACATGAAACGAAGTGACAAAGGGGGCTTTCTATCTGATAGTTCAGTTGTAAGAGCCATTGTTTTCATTACATGATTAAAGATGAGATAAAAGTTTTTTTGGAAAAGAAAACATGAAATAGCCCAAACTCCCCAAATACTTGCACAAAACTGGTGAAAAATTGTACGTACAAGGACAATAAATTACTGGAAAAGAAAAAGGTCATGATGAAACAAAAGGTGAAGAGCCTTGAGTTCTGTGATTACATAGGGGGTATCCGACCAAGCAGTGAAGGTCCTACCATCTGTTCCCTTGCCAAGTGCAAAGCAATTTGGATGGGATTCTTTACACCTGATCTACAAGAAATAAGACGTGTGGTAACACAAATAGTAACTTTTACACAGGAGGATTGATTTATCGCAAATTACTACAAGTACCTTGCACAGCTCCAACAGCTCCAAAGGTAGTAGTAGAACCATCCATGATACTTGCATCGCATTCCACATGACCACTCTCAGTCAAATTTGAACCGCGTCCAGCATTTGTGATGGGATCATCCTAATCAGCCATAGATGAGAATGGATAAACTAAGACAACTTTTGCTTGGAACAAACACCATTAGCCCTTTATCTACATACAAGTACACTGTATCACCCTCGATTCGCTTATATCTAGGAGGTCTGCAAACCCTGCTTATATGATCTATAGAACCACTCTTCCTTTTTCCCCCCTTTTGACATATCAAAATGTGGCCATATATCATACACCATCCTATTTGTCACCCATTGTAAAATTTGAACTAAACTGCATAGTACGTGTAGACATTGTAACAATACGTAGAAAGAGATGATCCAAACCTCCAATACTTGAATGGCAGCTGCAACCGCATCAAGGCTTGTGCCATTTCCCTGCAAAAGTATTAAGAGATTTAGGAATTCACCACTGCAAAGCTACATGGACGCCGCTCGAGCATTACATTTTCACACTACTTCAATCAATACCCCATCTAGAACATAAATCCGCTCGCCAGTCAAAATCCATTGCTCAGATGGAACACTTGGTGGGGATCGCGCGTCAATCCGAGCTCCATGCCATACAAAACCAACCAAGCACGAGAGCAGGAGGAGAAGGAGGCGAGTGGGGGGTAAGTAGGGGATAGGGTAAAGTACAAAACCTCGCGGAGCACTGCGGCGGCGGCGAGGCAAGCGCGCTTCATGGCTCGGCGGTACGCCTTCTCGTTCGCCGGCGCGTGGAAGCCGGCGCCGACGTGCACGGCCACGAAGAACCTACGGTTGGGGGGGCTCTGGTTCCCTTCTCCTTCTCCTCCTCCTCCTCCGCCGCCGCCTACCCCCACAAACTCGCTCTCGTCTCCCCCGCCGCCGCCGCCATCGCCGCCGGCCATGTTCGTTTCGAGCTCGTCGCGATTAGGACGAGAAAGTTTTGGAATTATGCGTTTGAGCCCCTGAAGAGTTGGGGTTTTTCCCAAAAAGGCCCAAAATGGGAGGTATTTTTGCAGTTGGACCCTTGTAGAAAGATATATTAGTAAATAGGTTGCGAATCCTTTTCACTAGCGTGGATCTTCGTGTATCCCGTTTGTGCAGACAAGATGCTTTCCTTTTTGGTGTATTTGGACCCCTTTTTTTCTTCACGGATGATTTTAATTTTATCTGCACACTCCAGTGAACAGCACAGTAAGGCTGCTACTCTATACTGCAAATGTGACGTGTGACTGATTTGATATGGATTGGATATTTGGGTTGTGTTAATAATCATATAGGAGTAGCAATTTCTATCTAAAATTTTCATACATGAATTGTCTAGTAAGTATATTTGAAACACAGGATTAAAAAAACATGGATTTTTATAGAAATGCAAGTGTAAAACTAAATATTATAAAATACAGAATATCCATTTGAATATATCAAAAGAAAAACACATGAATAAGATGAGATCGATGGACTCAAAACGAAAATTTCTACTCTCCCAATACCTAGTATGAGATAACGGTTATCTATGAGATATGGAAAGTTGCATTAAGACCAGCTAATAGGGCTAAATCATTGAAATAAGGAAGTGTAAATCGTTTCATACTTTCTCGCTAAGGCGTGCCGCCCGAAATTTCAGCCCCCATCTCCACACGCGTTTACCTATCGATGATAGAAAGGCAAAGTTTGCAGCCGGCACGCTAAACAATTTTAGCATGAACACGGCAACACGTACGACCTGTTTATATATGACTAAAACTTTTTAAAATTTTTTAGTCCCTATCATATCAGATGTTTGATACCAATTATAAATATTAAACGTAGACTATTAATAAGACCCATTATATAACCCTGAACTAATTCGCAAGACGAATCTATTGAGCCTAATTAATCCATGATTAGCCTATATGATACTAAAGTAAACATGCGCTAGTTATGGATTAATTAGGCTTAAAAAATTTGTCACGTGAATTAGCTCTCATTTATATGTAATTAGTTTTATAAGTAGTCTATGTTTAATACTTTAAATTCATCCGATATGACAGGTACTGAATCCAAACATCATCTAAATAGTACCAGTGGAGTACGTAGTAGTAGCTTTACTAGAGGGTATAGCTTTACTATAGGGTAAAAATGAAAGAAAAAAAGTTTTTCTTTTGACATGAAAAAAGAAAAGTTTTCATGAGAACCCAATGAGAGAAATGAATACAGTCTATACGTGTACTCCCTCCGTTCCATAATATAGCAACCGGTATCCTATAATATAGCAATTTAAAACCAGATAAAATATTTTATAGTACAACGAATCTGAATAAAAGAATATTCAAATTCGTTGTACTATAAAATGTTGGGTGCAGATCCCCTGGAGTTGGCTTCCAACTTCAACCGGTGAATTTGGACCAATCTGACCCCTTACTTTGTTTATATGGGTTAGATGTAGCCATGTCACCTCTTTCTAATTACACATTTACAACAGAAATAATCCTATCTAAATTTATTTTTTTGTGTTGTCCGTCCATTCAGATCAATAGTCTCGGAAGAGCATTATACATCATGGAGTAAAAAATAATTATCTTTAAACTTTTTTAACTGAGTTGTTAAGAAATTAACGGTATTGAGACCTGTATCGAACTCATTCATTCTAATAATCGACAGAACAAGAAGCTTCTATCGGTGCAATGTTTTTGTTTTGTTTGTTCTTATCTAATTGTTGTCAGAAAGTTTAAAGGTAACATGTTCTCTACTGTACTAGATAATATTTTTTTATAGACTCTACATTGTAGTATTTCTTTTGAAAGAAAATGGGCTAGTAGTAACCAGGGAAAAAGGGATTGGATTTAATCTAATCCATCAAATTAAAGGGATGGCTTAGATTAAGTAAATCCACTGTGTGGATTTGGAGGCAACTCCAGGGGATCCACACCCTAAAATGTTCTATCTAATTTTAGATTGCTATTATATTATTTTAGACATGTAGATTGTAGGAGTAGACTATATACAGGGCCTTCACTTCAGCCTTTCACGTCCCTGTGTAACGACAAATCTTCTTTTTTTTTTCTCTTCCCTGCTCGCAGACTGCACAGGGCCTGCACGCAATTACTGTTCCTTTTTCCCTTCTTTTTCCATGCGAAAGAAAATGAATCCATTTCCTCATGCTGCTGCTGCTCTCGATCCATCCTCAGTTCTCAACGCACAATACAAACACACACACACAGAGGGAGAGGGAGACGCAGGGTCACCACCTAATCACCACCACCACCTCCACCACCTCCTCTCTTCTCGGGATTGTTACTGCTCCACTCACTGCTTGGCCCTTCTCTCACCTTCTTCCAACTTCCCCCTCTCCTTCTACTCCCCTCCAGGATCGAACCCCGCGCGCTGCAACAAGCCTGGCATTTTGGTATGTATTTCTTTTTTCTTTTAATTTTTGTGTACTAGTTCATCCGCTTGGAACATGGTACATGGTTCTTGGCCTTCTGGGTTCATCTTCTTGCTGGGAAGCAATCGGTTTGATTGTTAACCCCCCGCGATCTTCAGCCAGCGTGCGTGCTTCTTTTGTTTGTGCTGTGCGATTGTGCCGTGGGGTTTGGTTATAGTTTGATTCTTTGCTCTTTTTTTTCTTTTTCTTTTTTTAGGGTTTTGTGTTTGATGCAAGGATTCAGTTAGCGCACACCTGTTCTCTTCGAAAGCTTTATTTAGTGATGTTTGCGTTGGTGTAAAGCATGGAGAGTTCTTGCGAATTAATGGGTTGTGATGGAAATGCTAAAAAAATGTAAAGATCATTAATTATTGGCGTTACAGAAACCACAAATTTGTTGCAGGGGGCTAACTAGAGATGTGGAGTGTTAAAAATGTCATGGTATCACCGTGCTGCGGGTTTTGTGAAATTGTTTCCTTGTTTTTTTCCTTTTGGTAATATTTTGGAGGAAGATCGTGTGAAATCACTAGTATTAATTGTTTTGTGAGGAAGGTTATGTAAAATTGTGGTGCCTCTTGAATCTTGATGCCATAACCAGCGTATGACTTATAAGTTAAATAAAGCTTCCATTATCTAAAAAAAGATGACTTATAAGTTATAACATGTCGGGATTTTTGACTATTTCATCTTAAGAACAAATTAAAAGCAAGACAAGTACTAACAAGTTTACATGGGTGCAAAGATTAATAGGCAAGGGCGCCAAGCTGTGAGGAACTAGATAGATTTCACAGCTCCCCGTTGGGAGGCACACTGCTTGCTTATTATAGCTGCTGCATGTGTACTGTTTGTGTTACTGCGCACATATTTCCTTGAGAAGCTTTCTTTACTACTGTTTGTGTTGGTATAAAGCATGGTGAGTTCTTGAGAATAGAAGGTCTGTGATGGAATGATAATATGCAGAGATCATGGATTATTGACGGCAAAGAAACCACAAATTTGCTACAATGGGGCAGCTAGAGATGTGTAACGCGATGTTTGATTATTTGCACTTTGTCATCTCACCGGGGTGTCACTGTGCTGCAGATCGTATGAAATTATTATATTTTTAGGAAGGTGTGTGTATGTTTGCTTGTTTTGCACGGATAAATGTGTGAAATATGGTGTCATGATGGCATCACCAATGTGTGCCCTATAACATGTTGGCATTGATGTTAAAAGCAACATAGAACTACAAGAGAAGTAACAAGTTGTGCAGTGCAAATTTACATGAGTTTGAACTATATATAAACAGATTTCACAGCTCTCTGTTGGGAGGCACATTGCTTACTTCTTATAAGAGCAGGATCAATAATACCGCCCGTTGCTGGCTATAAAATTCGCCATGTCATTTAGTAGGCTATATAGTATATAGATGTAGCTTGCGTTTTCTTCCCTTGGGCAGGCCAAAAGCTGCATGCACAAACTGATTGCTGTCCAATCACCATTTATCCTGAACAGCTAGTACCCAATCACTATGCGTAAGCAAGGGTATGGCCAATTGCAGTAAATCACCTAGTCTTGGAGGCTGCGTGCATCCGGCGCTAATATAGTCGCCCGCTTAAGTTCTCTGTCCTTGATTCCCTCCGCCAACTCAGCTTTTTTGCCATGATGGATATATTATAGCCTGCTTAATTCTCCTATTGTACTTGCTCTAAGCTTCTGCATGTGTACTGTTACTCAAACACTTGTTAATCCTCCTTTTTTTTTGCATGTGTACTGTTACTCAAACACTTGTTAATCCTCTTTTTTTTTTCAGAACCTCTTCTTTGTGAACCAGTTGCAGGCACAATTACGAGGTGGAAAAGTGACTTTGGCTGCTCAGCAGGAGGGTTTCAGTGACAAGATGAATTCTGGTGCTGAATATGAAGATGGCAGTGAGGAAGAAGAACCATATGAACGTGTGTTTTATGATGATGAAGACGATGGCAATGATGATTCAATATGTGGGGATCCCTGTGATGATTCAGTACCAAAAGAGGAGGTGCACAGGTAAAGTGGCAAAGACACATTTCATGTGGAGCATTTCATCAATCTGGTGCTTAATTCTCGCAGTACTTGCAGGAAGCTTATGCATGAAGCAGAGCCATATGATGATTTGGTGGCTGGTGAGGAGGAATCTGTTGAGAACTCTGCTCTGCAAGCTTTCAAGAAGGAACGAAATGAGCAAGAGCTCAAGCAGGCCCAGAAAATGGGTTACAGCATTAAGCAAAAGGAGATACCAGTGGACATGGAAATGGGAATGAAACCGTTCAAAAAACGGCTTGTCAAGTTTGCTGATGATGTATCATGTTACACATACAGTACCGAGAGTTTTGCTGCTGCAAAGTTGGAGAAAAGGAAAGCTCAGTTTGATGACCAGGACAAGCACCTCCATAAGAAACAGGAACACACTCCACCTTCGTTTCCTCAGGATGGTGGCAAGCTGAAAGAAGTGGACAACACTAATCTGTATGTGGGCAACCTACCTGCTTCTGTAGGTTCTCACAAGCTCATCGAGCTATTTCTACCTTTCGGTCAAATTGTCAGATCAAGAGTTGTGGATGATTGTTTCACTGGTTTGAGCCAGGGATATGGCTTTGTGAAGTATTCTGATCCTCGCTGTGCTTCTGAAGCTATTAAGCGCATGAATGGGCGCTTGGTTGAAGGAAGAGCTCTAGAGGTCAGAGTAGCTGGTTTTCCATCATCAGAGGATAATAGCCAGCAGCCTTCAAAGGAAACTGACATGGCTAAATTGTATGTGTGCAACCTTTCCTTGTCCATGAACACAGACAGGCTGATTCATCTTTTTCTGCCTTTTGGGGAAGTAACTAATGCAAAGGTGGCCAAAGATCACACAACAGGCTTAAGTAAAGGATATGGCTTTGTGCAGTACTCTAGTCCTCACCATGCAGCTGAGGCTGTCATCCATTTGAATGGACGTCTTGTCGATGGAAGAAAGATAGAGGTTCGAGTATCTGGCATACCTTCAACACTGCCAAATTCAGCTGTTGAATCACCCAGCACCACCAGAAATTCAGCTGTTGAATCACCCAGCACCACCAGAACCGTCAAGGAAATTGACATGTCTAATCTGTATGTCTGTAACATGCCATCGTCAATTGACACCAAGAAGTTGGTTGAGCTTTTCCTTCCATTTGGTAAGATCACCCATGCAAGAGTGGTGGCAGATCCTGACACCTTTTCAGCCAAAGGATATGGTTTCATCAAGTTTACTGATTCTGAATCTGCTACCAAAGCTATTGCAGCAATGAATGGAGCATTGGTTGGAGGAGAAATGATAATTGTCAGAGTTGCAGGCCTTTCCCCATCAGCATCCATCTCAGCTGTACAGACCACTCAAGACATCAACAAGTCTAGACTATACATCACTAATCTTCCACGGTCGATGACTGCCGATAAGATGGTTAATCTTTTCGCGCCCTTTGGTCAGATCACTAAAGTCCTGATGAATCTGGAGTATAGTCTAGTGTGGTATGCAGATGCACCCTCAGCTACCAAAGCTGTCCAACACATGGATGGATACATGGTTGAAGGAAAGAGGTTAGTGGTCAAGAGATCAGAGTTATGTACAACCAACGCTTCACAAGCAGGTGGCAAGCCAATCAAGGAAATCGACATGGCCAATCTCTATGTTGGCAGGGTTCCATCAAGTTTAACTGAAGATCAATTCATCGATCTCTTCCGCCCATTTGGACGAGTTGTTCAAGCTAGAATGTTTCGATTTCAGAGGTATGGCATGGTTAGGTTTGATAATCCTTCATGTGCTGCTGCAGCAATTGATCATTTGGATGGCTACCAGATTGGTGGAAGCATACTGGCTGTGAGAGTCGCGGGGCTTCCAGCAGAATCCAATGCAGCCAAGGGTGCTCTGACATCACAGATGTCTTCTAATGAGCAGGGACAAATCGACATGACTAACCTTTATGTGAGCCATCTCCCGAGCTATGTTAACAACGAAAGACTTATCGACCTCTTCCTACCATGTGGCCAAATCACTCAAGCAAAAGTAGTTGTTGAGAGATACACTGGTGTGAGCAAAGGATTTGGATTTGTCAAGTTTGCTGATGCTTACTCTGCTGCTGTGGCTCTCACTCACATGAATGGTTACCCTCTGGATGGGCATGTGTTGGAGGTTAGGATAGCTGGTGTTCATCCAGATGCTATGAGCAGTTACATGGCGCATTTCTACTCCCACTTCACAATGCATGATCCCGCAAAGGCGGCTGTCGGAATACCTACGTCCTATTGGCCGCACTATTACGATGAATCCGCATACAATACAACAGCTGAGAACCTGGGCCAAGTCACCACTACATCTGCAACCGATGCTTCTGCTGCTCAAACATCTCAGAAGGAAAGGTTGCCTGGATCTAAATCAGTCGATTTGGTTGCTGAGAAAGATTGCTCTTCTGCGTCGAACAAAGTTGCCAATTGTTCTGAGTCACAGCCAACAGCTTGGGCTGGTCCACCTGGCTTTGAGCCTCATGCCATCTCCAAGAAATGTACTGCTGGGTCCAATGCTTCTCAAGCTTGTTCAAAGGATCATTTTGCACAGTCAGGAGGTGGCCACAAAAGGCGTTCAATCGTCTAGCACCATTCACTTCAGGCCACTTGTGGCTTGATCTAACTTGATGGAAGAATCTACCTAAGTTTCCCATCACTTAAGAATTATTAGTCGTCAACGTTTTCTTTTGTAGGGAGATTTCTCTTTAATTGACTGGTTTTCCCATTTGGAGAAAAGACCATGTCCTAACTTTATTGGGTCAGTACAGTACTTCTTAGAGGTCAGGTTATCTGAGCTAGATGGTAGATGAAAACAATGTCAGTGCAATGTAATGGTAAAAACCTCTATGTGGAACCATTGCATGTTTGTTTATGAATCATGATGCCAACTGATGACCACTCTGATGAGTGAGAGATGCTTGGTTGGAGCTTCATGCTATCTGAACTTGTTAAGGTAAGTTGCTGTCCCCTTCCATGTTTGTCTGGTTGACGGTGTAGTACTTCTGGAATGTTAACTGCTTTATTCAGTTCAGTATTTGGTTCAGTTTGATCATGAGGTGAATATGCGCGTGTCGACGTCCCAGGATTCGACTTACCGCCGGTTATCGCGGTTAATGGGCTTACCGCGGGGTACGGTAATATAAATACCGCGATAACCTTCTTAAATTCAAATAAATTTAAAAAATAATTTAAATTTTTGATAAATTTTGCACGGTTTCGTACGGTTTATCACGGTTACCGCGCGGTAACCGTGCTTACCGCCGGGGCGCGGTAACCCAGCCCCGGCGGTTTGGGAAACCCAGGTCGACGATCGTTGAGTTTTTCTGTCTTGCTTGCTTCTTGTGTATACAGCTTTATACTACTGTATAACTACGTCTTCAGTTCAGTTTCACTTACTGGTTCTACTGGTTCTGTTTCACTTTCTTGTCCCACAACGTTGTTGTTCCAGCTGTACGCAAAGTACAGCTAAATTGCAATAATAAGTAGACGTTGTGTGTGGAAAGTAAAACTTTTATAGAGGTTCAATGGCGTTCACTGTGCTGCATGAAGATTTGGTGAAAAAAAAAAAACTGGAAATCACTGGCAGTTCAACCAGCTAACTCACAGTTACACTTCATGTGGAATCACAAATTAACAGGTCCAAGCCAAGCCGAAAATCGTTTATACTACAGTTGATTCACAAAGGCCACACATTCACGCCTTGCTCGCAGATATGAATAATGGATTTAGCAGAAAATAACTAACAGTGACAACCAAACGTCCGCGTATATTTATCCTTTTACACCTCTGAATTTTAAAACCAGCCAGACGGGGTAAACAATGCCAGCTCTCATTTATTTGAACCAAAGTGTACACATATAATCTGAAACTTGTGAATACGGAGAAGTACATTCTGTAAGAAGCAGCACTTGTATGGTATAAAAAAAAGGGAAATACAGGAAATGTGAGGAATGCTATGTAAAATAAATAAAATGCACGGTAATCAGGTCACTTCGACATGAAGAGAGATCTGCACTGCTCTGCTGTATCATCAGGACTGGTAACTGCAAATATAAATGATGAAATCAGCTTGGTGATGGCATCAATCATGTATTAGCTCAGAAAAGATTTAAAGCAAGTTTAACCTCGGCAAACAAGACTCAGCCACATATGAGAAGCTTGCAAGAGTATTCCTATTTAGTAAGAGGATACAGCTCAACCATAATGGAACTTGTGAAGTATTTCCAGAAGAAAATGTTATTGCTTTGTTTATTCAAGACTTGACCCAAGTGTTTGTGGTTGTTTCAAACTGAATTTTATTCATGAACATTAACCTGAATTGGTCAATTCTAATGATGGAAACTGCCAGCAAGTATACTGCTACTGAACATTCATTTGCATGATCTGTGCAGTATTGCTTGATTGGAATAGCCTGTCTGGTTGGGTCAATACCCAAGTTTCACAGTCTGATCTACGACTGTGTGCTGATGGTTATAGAATGTCTCACAGTAACATTATAAAATTTTTGTGTCCAATAAACCTAATCCTATCTTATACACAAGTTTTAAGTTATAACAAGAAGTTCAAGTCCAACGCATATACAGTAATGTCATGAGAATAATAGCTTTTATGAAACAAACAGCACACCTGTATGTCCAATTGTCCGGTCAGACTCAAATATCTCATAATCATTGCCTCCCTATTGAATGAAAAAAAAGTCAGGCGAAGAACTAAATAGTGGAAATGTTATATAGTTGAATATGATAGACAGATAACAACAAGAATATACTGTAGTGAACATAAAAGGGGCAAAGCATATATAAGGTGTTATTCTAGCATTGTATGGATAAAATACTTAACCACACATAAAGTAGGAAGCACTTTTTTGCTAAAAAGAGTACATATCACCTTGTAGGTTTTGTCCCCAAAGAAATGGATTTCTTGAAATTCCTCAAGATATCTCAAGCAGTAAGTTTTGTCCCAGCCTTGTGGGAACACCTGTTAAAGTGATACAGCAGTAAATATCATGAAACCAATAATTTCTGGCACATTTGTATGAGGATAGAAGGCTTACATCAAAACTAATCTGCCCTCCAATAGAAAATGTCAAGTTCAAGTGGGCGAACTTTTCACGAAGCACTGAGACCATTTTAGGCCGAATGTTATGTACCTATAGTAAATAAGTCAGTTAAGTTTCATGGTGCCTGAATGATAACAAATTATTGCTCTTTGTAAAGAATTGTTTGTACCTTATCATACTTTTCAAACTCATCACGTTCTTCTTGACTACAATTTCTCCCTATGGGCGACACATTCAGCATTCCACTTCGGAACTCTATGAATGTACCCCTGATGAAACAGTTATTTGGTCCATAAGGAGCTGTTGCCCAATGGGAATTAGTAGATAGGTTTGTTCACTGACCTTTTGATTGGGATGTCCAAGTCAGCAATGTAATGAAGCGTGAAGTTAATAAATTCCTGCAAAGAACATGTATCATCGATTGCATGGCCTTAAAATTTATGTGTGAACAAGCAACACTATAACTAAAAAAGGCTCACCTTTAGCTGATCATCTCCAAGAAACGATTTCAAACTCTGCAGAGCACAAAACATTATGTTCCATAATGTTCCATAATATAGAAAGGCGTCGTTCTAAGACCAGTAGCAGCCAATGACTTTTTTTTTTTGGGGGGGGGGGGGGGGCGGGTTATGGCAACACTATGTCACTTTAGAAACTTGGCCACAATGAAAAGAAGAACCTCTACCATTATTCCCAGGCCCCAGCCAGGAATTTGATGATCTCCAAGTGAAATTTCAGACACTATATAATGCATATATTTGCCTAAGGACTTACTTGAGTTCCAATGAGTTCGCCGTTCTTGTGCGCGACCAGGCCATTTTCAGAGAAGCAGTAATCGTAATCAGTAGTAACTGCGGTGCAAGGATGAATGCAGCTACTCAGAGAGGTTTCATAGAGCATAAGCAATGTGTTCTTGGATTAGAGAACACACATCAACTAAATCCGCAAGCTAGAGAGTACAGGTTCAAAACCTGATTTGCCGAGTTGTTCGGAAATCTTCACCAGATCAGATCCCCCAACCACGCCCACAGTGACATGCTGCTCCCAATACATACATAACCAAAACATGACATGAATCCCATATGGTCCATGGAAACCAGGAGGAAGAGAAGTGAAGAGGAGAAGCGCAGAGACGCCATTCTCACCTCGCGCAGCTGCTTCATGAACTGGAGCATCTCCGGCGTCACCACCTATACCCCCAAAAAAAAAAGAAGAGAAGAACAAGATTCATTCAACAACGACGATGCAGCTGCAGCGAGGAAACTATCGCTCGGGAAGAGATGAGATGAGATGACGGAAGCGGATCCGGAGAATGGGGAAACCTTGCGGGGCGCGGTGAGGGTGCCGTCGACGTCGAAGAGCGCGAGGACACCGGCATTCTTCCTCGCCGCCATCGCCACCACTCCGCTCCTCCTCCTCCTCCTCCTGCTGCTACAGCGAACGGGCGCGGTATAGCAGCAGCAACAGAGCCCGGATGATGCGTGCGGCGACGGGAAAGGCAGCTTGGGTCGTTTCGCCGGTGCGGATCTAGACGCGCTCCCTCGCTTCGCCTCGCTTCCCGCGGCGGCGGCAACGGCGAGGCGGGGGAATTTATAGGCGGCGCGGGCGCGAGGTGTGCGTCGGGATCTGCGCGAGGAGGCGAAGCGGAGGAGGAGGAGAAGACGAAGAAAGTCAAGCCGTCTCGTGGAGTGGGAGAGTGAGGAGGACGAGGTGGGGGTGAGCGCCACGTCACGTGACCAATCGCGCCTATGGATTGGGGTGAGGTGAGGCCATTCACATTGCAAGCACCGACGGTAGTGTCTTACCCCAGACATTTAGCTCAAAGACACCCTTTCCCACGGTACAAGGATCTTATTTTGCGTGACTAGTTGGATTTGGGCACTGTACAAGGAAACCGGCCCACAACGCTCGTGACTTGGTGGATGGCAGCGAAGGGGACCGAAGGAAATCAATTTCCCCACCTACCCTCGGACAACGACCCGTCTTCTCTTCTCGCTTTCACCTCCTCCATCGTCTTCTCCGCTCTACTTCCTCCCACGCCACCGCTCCTCCTCCTCCTCGTCTCGTCCCGCCCCGCCCCTACTCCTCCGTTCCTGCATGGCCGCTGGCCCCCTCCTTCGGCCTTCCCCACCGCCACCGCGGCCCCCTCCTTCCGCACCCCCTCTTCACTGGCCCCGCACGGGAGCGTGGTGGACGGGCTCGGTGCGGCAGTGTTGGCTGCGGAGCTCGGCGACGACCTGTCCAAGGCGGCGGATCTGGCGGACGCGGCGTCTTCGGCGCAAGCCCTGTAGCGACGAGGAGGAGGTGGTGGGGGCGTAGATCCGGCGGTGAGACGCCGCCGCCATGGTGGATGTCGCCGCGCACCTCGACTCCTCCGCCTCCTCTAGCGCTGCCATGGGGACGCTGCCGCTCCAGGCCTCCCTCCTTCTCCCCGAGCTCCCCCTGGCGGCGAGATGACTCCGATGCGGCGGTCGGCGTCGGATTTGGCGGACACGGCGGATTTGTTTTTTCATCATGTGGTGTACATACGTCTCGATTTGTTTTGTTGAATCCGTCTTATTTGAGTTATTCTCTTCCAATCCCGAAAATTTTCGTGCCTAACTTGGTGTCTGGAGGAAGAGTGGCTGTGGCGGGAGCGCTAGTGTTGTGGCGGGAGGAGGAACTTCGCTGCGGCGGGAGTGGATTTTGGGAGGACGATTCTGGGATTTCACGGTGCTAGGGCACGCGTGTGCGAGGCGATGCTGCCCACAGTGCGCATGCCCGGGGATTTCGGCGTCGCGCGCTCCCTCGCTTGGACCAGGTTCCGCGCGGCTCTGCTTGGGGGCGAGGAGCTCAGCTAGGGCGCGCATCCATCTGCCACGCACACGAAAAGCCTAGCTGGCATGGTGTAGCACTGATCCAGCTAGGAGCACTGTGAGAGGCCTGAGTACGTTTTTTATTGTGGGCCGTGGCCTGCTCGGCCCATCTCGCTACGGTGGGCCGTTTTGTTTGTCTGGGTTGCCTTTGTTAACACTTGGGATGGGATAGTCAATTTGATGTCATTTTCGTTTTCTACCGTACCAAGTTTTGGAGAATGTCTTCTGCATAACTGTATGTGTTGCGCTGCTCACTGACATGTGGGTCTCACGTGCTAGAGGATCTCTATTGCATTTTTTAATATTGTCAAATTTTGATAAGGTAGTAATCTAAAGTTCTAAACACATCCCAAATACTCCACAATGGGCCTGTTCACTTTGATGCAAAAAAAAAACCTTACCAAATTTTGGCAACTTACTAAATTTTTTGCAGGATTTCTTATATAGTTACCAAAATTTAGCAGCAAACTAAATGTAGCCACTTTTTTTTGCAACCTTACCAAATTTTGGTAAGGTTGAAAATGGCATCAAAGTGAACAGGCCCCGTATGTCCATGTCTTGCCATGCCAAAATTCGGTGATTTTTTACAAACTTCTCCACATAACACTACACAAGAATATTTGGCATGGTAGCAAAGCAAACAACACCCACACTTCTACCCTACCAAATTTTGGTATTATCAAACTTTGCTAAATTTTGGTGTTCCCAAAATTTGGTAAGGTTAATTTTATATCAGCGAAAATATGCGTCGGTGTCGCGTTCGCAAAGTAGATTTGCCCTCGTCATGAAAGAAAGTGCATGATTCGATAAAAATATTCTGGATTTCACACCATCACATCTTTGTAGTAAAAAATATACAAAATTTAGGCAGAGCAAGTCAATGGTCTGGGATATACATATAAATGGATGTTTCAGTTCTTAGGACATCATAGCACGGAGTATTGTTGACAAGCACATTAATTCTTGAGACAAGATCTCCTCTCGTTGATGCTCATTAGTAGCAGGCAATCAGTTCCAGCTGCTGTAACCCTCCCCCTCGTTCTCGTGGTTGTGATGATGGCGAGTTTCCTGAAGAAATTCGAGTGTCCAGCACATTAGCATCACACACTCCAACCAGATGTTCAGACACAATGGCAACAACACCATCGATGTTGCAAGAGACAGAGGTAAGTGTTTTTACCGCTGCTGGAGTGAAGGTGAGAGCAACCTTGATCTCTCCACAGTACTTCTCCTCCTTGACGACACGGTGGACGGCTGGAGGAAGGCTGCCTTCCAGGAACACAGGCTCCAGAGGAATGCTGAAATTTTGCACAGGTGAGCAAGAACCATACATGCATAGACTGACAAATATCACTCTGAAGAGATGTTCAGAGAAAGGTGTTCTTCTGAACTTTCTTCAGAAGCTCATGTTGTCTCATGGAAGAAGGGATTCTACTCTCAAGATGGATAAACATGTTTGAGTTCAGAAGCTGCATTTCAGCTGTGCACTGCTAAAATGGAAGAATGCAGAGTGTCACCCATAATTTAGATGCTTACTTTGCTTCACCGACGAAATCGTCAGCTGAGAAGGCATCACTGTCCATGATCTTGACATTGAGCTGTGGAACATCGTCGGAGACGGTGAAGACGAAGGTCTCGTTCCATTCAGGCTCGCTTCCTGCTCCTGAATCGTTTGAAAGCAAAGATTGAGGTTCATCAGATTAGGATCGTATTCCCGCCCATTTAGGTATAGGTACAGTACAAATCAGTTGATGCTCCATAGCAACAGCACTGAACCTTGTTCCTAATGCAATGGAATTAGTATGTGCTAACAGTTAACGAATACCTTTTGCAACGCTGCTTTTCTGCTCCTGAGTGCGGCAGGTGAGGATCACGTAGGGGTCCATGTCGTCTGATTTGGCAAAAATACACACAAATTGGCATCAAATGAAGAGCGTAAAAAACAGTGATTCTCAGATAAAGTTTGAGAAGATTGTGATTGAGTATGTCTAGCCCCTACGTACACATGCTTTCTCACTCTAACGCTATGATGTTTTTAACTTTTTACTCGAGTAGGAGTGTAGGACAGGACAGCACAAGCAAAACTCCACGATATACTGGCGTGCTTTTATCCATCCTTCGTCGTTTTCGCATGCAGATACATATTTTTTTTTAGGTTTGCTTTAGAGTAATGAAGTGAAATAAAACAATTGTTAGGCATTAACAACAGGACATCAAGCACTATAAGTCACCGTTGACCCATGATCTAGCTAGAACAACATGCTGATAATTGCTTAACCAACCGCGAAATGCCCCTCCTCGATCACTCTGTCTAGTATCCTCACTGGTAATGAATCATGATATCTATTGATGCCTTGTTCATGCATCTAATCTGTCAGGTTCACAATCCTAAAGAAACGATTAAGCAGTCAACCAGCAAAGAAGAGAAGAAATGGCGTAATCAAAAACAAAAGCTTTGCAAACACAGCAAGAAGAGGTAGAAGGATGTGTGTTTACTCAAGAAGTCAGTGTCCTCGAGGCCCTTGGCGCAGACGAGGAGGACCTCCAGCTTCCCGTGCACCATCTCTCCTCTTCTCTTCGATCGATCTCTCGCTAGTCGCTAGTCTTCTTGCCGTTGATCTCTTCTTCTTCTTGATGATGATGTTGCACAGGCACTTTCCCCTTTGCTAGTATGGCCAGTAATCTTCACCAACTCATATAGCAAGTCGTTGAAGGTGCCAGCCAAGGTGGCCAAGTAGCCAGCATGGCCCACTCTGACAGTCTGTGTCTTACTAATAACCATTAATTATTGAGGAGAATTAAAAAAAAAGAAGAATTAAGTACGGGTCAATGACCTCCTCCTAGCATTTATCTTGCAGAAAGAGACGAGCCGAGCAGCCTCCTCTGGCCTAGGTTGAGCTGGAACCGGCACATGAACTCATGAGACGAGAACATGCCGGGGAGACTGGCTTGATGCAATGCATATTTTCACCTAATTGTATAAAAAAAAAGGGATAGACGTGGGTGATTTACATCATCTCACGTCTCTACTGCTGTGGGAGGGACAGGGAACGGATCCGGTAATCCGTTAATAGGCGCGTTGGTTTACAACATAAGATTTGATTAGTGGTGACTTGAAAAAGGAAAAAAAAATGTTTGTGGGAGTATTTGGCTGAGGGATTCACGCGTGCTTGCATTTGAAGTTTTGAACGATGCAGCATGTAGATCAATACGGTTCAGCCATCCCAGCCCAAACAAGATTAGGCCTCACTCTTGGGCCACAATCATGCTTCCAATGGCCAGCTTACTGGCAAATGTAAGGAGGAGGCCAAAACTTGGGTCTGGCGTGAGAAGTCTCCATGATTGGTTAATTTTTAGTTAGCCCGGGATACATGTACATCTTTTTTTTTCTTTTGTTTACTTCTTTTATGTTCAATGAAATTGACGGCTCGCCGATTCATTAAAAAAATCATGATGCATATGAATATTAAAAGGACTCCTTTTCATCTTATTATTAGTCCTAATCAAAAGAGTAGAATGCACGTTGATAAAATGTAATCTCCCTTTACACCAGGTTTATACTACATCTAGGCTCCCATCTGATGGCCTAAACAGCCAAAGAAAAAGCTAAAATTTGAATTTTTAAATTTAAATTTGAGATTGATTTTGAGATATTTTCAACGTAGTTTCTTTTACAGCATTGGCTTTAAGTCACCAAGAACACATATATAAAACGTTTACCTATAAATTTATTTTTATTCCCTAATAAACCGTTTTGGTTTATAAGAAAAAAGCCAAACGATGGGGGAGTAACTTTTTGAAAAAGCACCAAAATGGGAATACCAGCGTATCTTCTACTACTACTACGTATCTGCTGCATTCCACGGCACCACAAAAACCAACGGATGCACCAACCCGACGCCCCCGCGGTCACTGACTGGTGGGGCCAGACCACCAACTAAACTCTCTCTCCCTTTCCTCTCGAGCCCCCGATTCGCCCGCAAGGTCGCCGTCTCCATCTCGTCTCCCTCGCCGCCGCCTCGCCGTGGCTGCCCCTCCATCCGTACGCCGGTTGAATCGTCGGCTGGCTGCTTCGATCTGGTTCCGGTTCCTGATTGCTTGCTCCACCGATTGACCGATCGCGTTTTGAGGGTTGGGGGTTTGCTTTTTTTGGATTCCGCTTGCGCGGTTGCAGGTGGTGCGTCGATCTGCGTCCATATGGCGGCGACAGCTGCGGCGCTCGCGGTGACGGACGAGCTGGCGTTGCCGCTCCGCGCGGTGGGGGATCTGGCGGCCGCCGCGGGGTTCTCGCGGGAGGAGGTGGTGGTCATCACGCAGTGCGCCTCGCTTGGTGAGCTTCTCCTCGTCTCGTTTGGGTTGTTTGAATACTTTTCGCCTGAAATTTGTTTGAATACTGAATCCATCTACTCGGATTAGGACTTTGCGTGCTTAGAATCAATCTGGAATTGTGCCTAGGCTGTGTTACCAGCGTTTGTCCTTTTGCTGATTTTGGTTTTGATTTGTTCCAACCCTACAAATCACACTAGTTCAATCGATTCATGGTAGCTCCTTGAAAGACCTGTTTGGGATTGGAGCTCATTTCTGACGACGCCCCCTTATTATACTTCATATGCTAATTCTATGTAGATTCATTTCACCACATGTAGGACCAAATAGGGAACACCTGTGAGACAGCGCTATTGGTTGACGAAGGAAAAATTTTTTTCCATATGCTCGCATTAATCACGAGGGGAAAATATTGGAGAACATCTCCCTATATGTCTGCATTGATTATCTAAATTCATCTAGTGGTAATATGCAATATGCAATTCTCACCAATGACTACTAAATTCCAAAATTTGGACCCTACAACCGACACACTGTTTTGCTCTGCTATATGTTCAGTTTCGATTTCTGTTATGCTTTAGTATACCTTATCCTTGTAGTATACATTTTGGTTTGTCATAAGCTCGTTTTGAACATTCCATGTTGGCATGGTTCAGGTGGGAAGTTACCTTTTGATGATGCATCAGTTGGTTCTGTTCTTGCTGTCATTAAGAAAGTGGAAAACTTGGGCGATCTGTTCATAACTGAAATAAGCAGGGTTCTTAAAGCTGGAGGCATGGTGCTTATACAGAGTTCCCCCTCTGATCAGGATGTATGTACTGTTTTGCCAATATACTTTATTTTGTAATGCTTAATTTGCACTCCCTGATCTTCTGATCTTCTCTTCATCAGCCCAATAACTCTATTCAGCGCAAGCTACTGTTAGGAGGATTTGTTGACGTGCAAGCTTCTGCTGCAAGTTCCCAGGATAGCGAGCATTCTGTTACTGTGAGTGATCTAGTGCCACAATATGTGTTAATGCTTCTGTGCCGTCATACTTTCTAGTGCTAACTGAATCACATGCAGATTAAGGCAAAGAAGGTCTCTTGGAGCATGGGCTCTTCCTTCCCCCTCAAGAAAGCCACAAAGGGTCTTCCAAAGATTCAGATTGATGATGATTCTGAACTGATTGATGAAGACAGCCTCTTGACTGAAGACGACTTGAAGAAACCAGAACTTCCAGTTGGTACTGTTTTATAGAACCCTTCAGCTTTGTTCAACGTCTATAAATTTAATATGTAGATCCTGAAGGTTTGCTTATGTTTTACCAGTTGGGGATTGTGAGGTGGGAGCCACAAGGAAGGCATGCAAGAACTGTACTTGTGGCCGGGCTGAGGCTGAGGAGAAGGTGGAGAAGCTAAATCTCACATCAGAACAGATCAATAACCCTCAGTCAGCTTGTGGCAATGTGAGCATGACTGCTTTTTAAGTGTTATTTATTTTATTTTTTTTTGCCTTTGGTCCTCTCCCTCTGAAAATCCATAGTTTCATCCTGTTACCCAGATTTGTTGCCTTCCTGTTATGCTTATGTGTGAAATGATAATTGCAGTGTGGGTTGGGCGATGCATTTCGATGTGGTACTTGCCCATACAGAGGTCTACCAGCATTCAAGCCGGGCGAGAAGGTAATTATCTCTCCTGACCCTAAATTCTTGATTCATGAGAACACCAAGATGCCAGTTGAACTTGTTTTTAAGAAACAACTCACTGTTCTCTGATTGGCAGATTGCCCTGCCTGGCAACTTCCTTGCGGCTGACTTGTGATGATAGAAAGGAACATCGGCGACAGCAGCAGATAGGAATTGGCTTCTTTAATTCGTTCGTTTGTTAGGATGTTAAGTTGCTGGTCAAGTATGGGTGTGAGTATGGATAGAAGAGGACCATTTGCTGTAGTCCCTGCTAGTTATTACCACTTTCTGGTTCCCAGGTTTCATGTGTGAGTGTGACTCGCCTATATGCGTCCTGTTTGAGGATATCTGTACTAATAACTGAGAAAGTACCGCACTGTTGTTTCATTGTGGAACTGTCAAATCTCAAATCGCACGTCGCTGCTCGCTGCTCTCTGTTGATCTTGCGAAGTGATTTTTATTTTATATACTCTGATGTAAAGTGAAACAAGATACATTCTACCCCCGTGTAAAATGCAATTTATTCTAATCAGAATTTAAATTTTAAGTTGATTTTAACTTTTCATTGTGATTTATATATTCAGCATTGACTCTTAAATCGCTAAAAACAAACGTAAAAACATCTTCGTACATTATTTTGTTATAGCATGCGAAACGATGCGACTAAATTCTCTTGGTACGCAAATCCAAACGGATAGATACCCTGATGACACGATTAGTTTTCTGCACGTTTGGAACAAACACAAATGGATGGTCTTTGACGTGCCCGTGCAAATTCCGCTACCACTAGCATCTATGCTTAAAGAAAAACACCAAAATAATTAGGGAATACCAGCGTATTAATAAGCATCTTCTTCTACTTCTACTCCGTGGTATCTGTTGCACGCCACGGCACCACAAAACCAACAGACACACCAACCCGTCGCCCACCGCGGTCACTGACTGGTGGGGCCAGGGTAACCATCCCACCAACTAAACTCCCTCTTCCTTTCCTCGCGAGCCAGCCGATTCGGCCGCGATTCGCCGTCTCCATCTCGTCTCCCGCTTCCTCCCCGCGTCCGCCACGCCACCCCCCACCTCGCCGCCTCGCCGTGGCTGCTCCTCCCCTCCCCTCCCCTCCCCGCCGCCGGTGCTCCGGCCTTCGCTGCCGCCGTGCTTTCTCTATCTATCCTCTTCCCCCACGCGGACGGGGGTGCGGCGATTCGGGCTCTCCGCCGGACACGCGTCGCTTCGGCCTCAACTGAAGAGCCACGCTTCGGTCTCGACTCTCGAACCCCCAAGGTATTCCTCTCCCCCAAGCCTTCCTTCGCCGCACCGCCTGCGTGGAGTAAAACTGCAGAGATCCATCTGGAATTGGGCTGTGTTCTTTTGTTGGTGATGGACTCTCTTAGCTTGCTTGATTGGGTTGTGTTCGGAGTTTTGTTCTAGTCTGTTTCACTTTTGCTGTGGCTAATCTAATCCGCATATTTCTTTCTCTGCAATGAATGAATAAATGTAATAATTGGCCCATCCAGTTTGTTGCGTTGCAGAAGATTCGTTTGATGCGTGCTGAAGTACAATCGTGAAAGGAAGGAACTGTGCCAACACCACCTGATTGGTACTCCTGTCGTTCTTGGACAGGAGATTGATTTTGCTTCGGTAGGAGACCCAATTGCGGATGGAATATGCACACGTGCGTTGTTAGGTAATGACGAGCTTGCCTGATAGGGGTGTATCATCGTCTTCATCTGATCCGTTGTGCGAGGGTAACATTGCACCTTGTTCTTCTAGCTCGGAACAGAAGGAGGATTGTAGCCTGAAACAATCGAAAACCTCGATCCTGTCCTGCGTTTTCAATTCACCTTTCAATATCTTTGAGGCGCACCAGGATTCGTCCGCAAACAAGTCGCCGAAATCGTCCTCTGGATCCTATGATTGGTCGAGGGTATTGAGGAGGATCGTGTGCTCTGGCTCAATGTGGCGTTTTCTGGGCACCTCCAAGGTTCTCACTTCAAGTGATGTGTGGTTCCTTGGTAAATGTTACAAGCTTTCGTCGGAGGAGTCGTCTAGTGACTCAGATTCCGAAAGTGGGCATGCCACATTTCTTGAGGACTTCTCGTCAAGGATATGGATCACTTATCGCAGAGGTAGGTTTGTTTACACGACCATATGCCTGGTACAGCATGTTAATGTGTGGAAATCAGTTGTGAGTTGTTTGCACTGTCTTTTTGTTGCAGGCTTTGATGCCATCTCTGATTCCAAGTATACTAGTGATGTGAACTGGGGCTGCATGGTCAGAAGCAGCCAGATGCTGGTTGCTCAGGTGCTTGTCGACTTTATTTGATTGAAATAACAGCATTTTTTTTACCACTGCATTTGTAAAATGTACTTGGATGGATTTTTGCAGGCATTGATTTTCCACCATCTTGGCAGATCTTGGAGAAGGCCCTTGGAGAAGGTGAGATACATGACTACCTGCTGATCTTAAGACAATGAAAATTTTCTTTTTTCAGTTGTAGTAGGTGATGGGCCTCTTTTACAATGATCAAATGTTCATATGCAGCCATATAACCCAGAATATATAGGGATCTTACACATGTTTGGTGATTCTGAAGCTTGTGCTTTCTCAATTCACAATTTACTTCAAGCTGGAAATAGTTATGGTCTGGCTGCTGGATCATGGGTGGGTCCATACGCCATGTGTCGGGCATGGCAAACCCTTGTCCGCACCAATAGGGAGCAACATGAAGTTGTTGATGGGAATGAAAGTTTCCCTATGGCTCTTTATGTGGTATCCGGTGATGAAGATGGTGAAAGAGGTGGAGCTCCAGTTGTTTGTATTGATGTTGCTGCTCAGCTTTGCTGTGATTTCAACAAAGGTCAATCAACTTGGTCACCGATTCTTTTGCTGGTCCCTCTGGTTCTTGGTCTTGACAAAATTAATCCAAGGTAAGCAGCAAGCTATTAAATCTCATTCTTTGTAGGCTTCATATGGTCACCCTTGAACGGTTGATGTTTCTACTGATGGTTGTTTCTAGTATTAATCACTTCCTGCCATTGCCCTTACTATCAGGTACATTCCTTTACTAAAGGAGACGTTCACATTTCCTCAGAGCTTGGGGATTTTGGGTGGAAAGCCTGGAACATCAACCTACATTGCTGGGGTACAGGATGACAGGGCGCTCTACCTAGATCCCCATGAAGTTCAGATGGTAAAACTGCATTATTTACTTAGCATATATGAGCGCCAATTTTATAGATGTGTTTTTCTATCTGCAATCTGGTCAATAAGTAAAACTTTCATATGTAGTAGGTTGTAATTTAGAATCTTGATTTCATCAATGTGATAAGTAATTCATGCCTTTTTAATGGTGCCCTGTCCTCCCATTCACAACAATGGCAACACAAAAAAACAGCAAAGCGGTATATTAGTGTTCGCCTTTGTCTATTATGCATGCAGTCAGCGACCGTTATTATCTGGCTATTTTTGCAGTATCCCTTTTTGCTTGGAATCCATTTTGGTTAGTAACCTTGTAGAAGTAGATGGATTTTGTATTTATCAATGTAATGACTAGGGAGCTATTTTTGTTTTTCATTTTTGAGCTATGGTAGTTACAGTGGGGTGTTCTCTACATCTCAGGCAGTTGATATTGCAGCTGATAACATAGAGGCAGACACTTCTTCATACCACTGCAGGTATGTTCGCAATTGCAGTTATGATTTGGTAAATGGTACCTAATATTCGTTATCCTTTTAATTTTTCAATAATGAAAAAACTTATTATCTAGCTGCACTTTGACAGCACTGTACGAGATTTGGCCCTAGACCTGATAGATCCGTCATTGGCTATTGGTTTTTACTGCCGTGATAAAGGTGAACTGTGATTGTCGAACAAATGTCGCGTCATCATTTTAAGTTCACTCTAATCTTGGTTTTCTTATTTACTGTCTGCCTGCTTATGTAGATGACTTCGATGATTTCTGTTCTCGCGCCACTGAGCTAGTAGATAAAGCCAATGGAGCACCACTCTTCACTGTTGTGCAGTCGGTTCAACCGTCAAAACAAATGTACAATCAGGACGATGTGTTGGGCATCTCAGGGGATGGCAACATCAATGTCGAGGACCTCGATGCCTCAGGTGAAACAGGAGAGGAGGAATGGCAGATTCTTTAGTGAAGGAACAAAACTGACCTCATGAGGTACAGAAAACGTTGCGTCCAACACGTCGGTCGAATGCCCTTGTTTATGTGTGGGTGAATAGAAATGACTCGTTGTGTTGTCTACAGAACAAGCTGGCACTGTCTCGATACCCCAGGGGGTTGGGTCTTGGGAGAATCAGCTTTAGGTGCTACCGATGTAAAAATGTGATCAGTTCATCGCTCATTCGTTGGAAATCTCCTTGTATCATACATGCTCTTGTGGTTGGCTATAACTCAAAATTTATTATACGTTCTGTTACCATGTTACAGCGTCGTGATTTGGCTTTACCTGACGAATGCGTGTGGTGTAGGGCTGCTAAATATGCTATGTTTGCAGTGGCAACAGTTCATTGTTCTCACTTCTCTCTCTCCCTCTCTCTTTTGTGCTCTGTTTCTTTTGTTCAACAGAGTTCGTGTGGTGTAGGGCTGAAATAAGCATCGTTCAGCACATTTAGACCACTTAATTTGAAGCTTCACCGATCTCCAATTTGTCTCAAAAGTGTTTGTGAGGAAAGGGACAAAAGCTAACGAGCAAGAACAAAAAGCGCAGACAAATCGACCAAAGACACCTACAACTCAAAGCCAAAGAAAAGAATCCCTTTCATCTACAACACAAAGGAACCCTACGAACTGTCCAGAAAACATAAGCGATACTGAAGTCATATGATCCTAGGCTTTAACATCTCCTCTCCCCAGAAAGAATCACGATACAGATTACTCTGTCATCACGCAACAACCTAAGCTCCCATCCTTTAAGAATTGCGTGCTGCATTGCATTGCCACTATCTCACAAATCAAGACTCACTCTTGTCAGTGACAGTAATTAACAAGCTAGAGCAAAGCACACACAAGCTTCCAAACATGCTTGGTGTCCTCCTCTCAGTTGCTCTACTCTCGATTTCCATTGTCAAAGGTAAGGTCACTAATCACTATGCAAATTTGAGCCAGTGTGTGAATCAGTGTGACGTGACACATGACGTAAGCACTGGTTCGTCTTCTTGGAATAGGCACGGATGCCGGCGGCGTCGGCGTCACCTACGGCATGCGGGGGACGACCATGCCGCCGCCGGCCGACGTCGCGCGGTTCCTCTCCCGCGACACCATCTTCGACCGCGTCCGGCTGCTGGACGCCGACCCGCGCGCGCTGCGGGCCTTCGCCGGCACCGGCCTCGCCGTGGACGTCACCGTCCCCAACGCCGACGTTCCGCGCCTCGCCGCCAGCCGCGCGTCCGCGCGGCGGTGGGTGCGCGCCAGCGTCGCGCCGTACGCGGAGGCCACCAACGTCTCGCGGGTCCTCGTCGGCGACGAGGTGATCTCGCAGGCCAACCGGACGCTGCTGCTCAGCCTCGTGCCGGCCATGCGGAACCTGCACGCGGCGCTGGCCGCCGTGCTGCCGCCGTCGCCGCGCCGCCGCGAGATCATCAAGGTGTCGACGCCGCATTCCCTCGGCATCCTGGCCGCGTCCACGCCGCCGTCGGCCGGGCGGTTCCACGACGGCTACGACACCGCCGTCGTGAAGCCGCTGCTCGGCTTCCTGCGCGCGACGGGCGCGCCGTTCATGGTGAACGCGTACCCGTTCTACGGCGGGCTCACCAACGACACCCTCGACTACGTGCTGTTCCGGGTGAACGACGGCGTCACGGACAACGCCACCGGCCTGCTCTACGCCAACATGCTCGACGCGCAGCTCGACGCCGTCCACTCCGCGATGCGGCGGCTCGGGTTCGGCGACGTCGACGTCGTGGTGTCCGGGACCGGGTGCCGTCCGCCGGCGAGTACTNGNGGAGGGCGCGCCGACCTTCGCCAGGGACTACAACAAGAACGCCATCCGCCACCTCGGCTTCCGCGTGGCACGCCGCTCATGCCGAACCGCACCTTCGAGCTCTCCATCTTCTCCCTGTTTGACGAGAACCTCAAGCCCGGCCCGGTGTCCGAGCGCAACTTTGGCCTCTACCACGCCGACATGACGCCGGTCTACGACGCCGGCATCCTCACCGCCCCGCAGGAGATCGTCGGGACGAAGGTCACGCCGGCGCCGGCGCCGGCGCTGGCGCCGGCGGAGGATGGGCGGCGGCGGTGGTGCGTGCCGAAGCCGGCGGCGGACGAGGTGGCGCTCCAGGTGAACATCGACTTCGTGTGCGGACAAGGTGGCATCGACTGTGGCGCGATCCGGGCGGGGGGTTCGTGCTACGATCCCAACAACGTGCAGGCGCACGCAGCATTCGCGATGAATCTTTACTTTCAATCCAACGGCCAGCATGAGTTTGACTGTGACTTCGGCCAGACCGGCGTTATCACAACCGTCGATCCTAGTAAGTACTATCCCAAGACGTTTTGACCTTTTTCCTAAAATTTATAAAAAAATCTAGCAATATCTACGACATCAAATTAGTTTTATTAAGTCTAACATTGAATATATCTCGATAATATGTTTATTTTTATTGAAAAACTATTTTTTTTATAAACATGATCAAACTTAAAAATGTTTGACTAGAAGAAATGTCAAAGTGACTTATAATATAAAATGGATGGAGTATATTAATTTATCTTCTACTTAATAACAATAATAGTGTAGTTTCATTAATTAAGTTTAAATGTCCTTTTTTTTATTTATTACTAGTGGTACATGATTTTTTTTTCTCTTGACAGGTTATAAGAGCTGCAAATTTACATGAAGCAAGAGGTGGCTATTTGGATAATACTTGGCTAAAAATGGACTTATGATGAAATTATTATAGGCTATGGTTAACTTGCGTTGAATTTTGTGGAGTGAGGTCGTCTGTTCGTGCTGCCGATCCAAACATACAAAAAAGCTATGGATCCATAAATGCTAATAGGATTTTGCAAAGATATTTGTTCATGTTGAACCAAACAAAAGTTAAAAATAAACAGGTTATATATCTGTATCAATAAATATATGGAAGCTCAAGATGTTTCATCTACCAGCTGAATGACTGTGCACTGCAACGGAAAATTGAATAAGAGAACCACGCCATACACTCTAAAGTTTCAAAAATTAAAATAAAACTACCGTCGTTATAATTTCTTAGGGTCACATTATATTTGCCATCATTTCCACCTCACTTCAAAAGACTTTTTTTCTATTTGATGTAAGGTTGGGAAAGTAACAAAAATCCATCTACCTCAATGTTTTAGGATTCACCACTCATCACCATCTTTAAGGTTTACGTTGAAAATTAAAAAAAACACCAAAATATATTCACTCGTGTGTGATCTCAAGTGGAAGTGATTAGTGATCCAGTTCTTTTGGCAGATATTTGTTGGATCTTTCTAATTTCAACCATGACGAGAGCCCATGATTAGGCGTCCAATTACCAAATTCTAAGCCCACAATTGGGAATATTTTTACCAAAATTTCTATAAACGAAAAGCGCAAGGGGCCCTCGACAAAATATCACCCAAGTCCTCTTCTCTCTTCTCTTCTCCGCCGCCGCCTCCATCCGCGGCGCATCCCATCTCGCCCCGGCGACTCGTCGGCGTCGGCGTCGGCCATGGGCGGCGACTGGCAGGAGCTTGCCCAGGCGGCGGTAATCGGCCTCCTCTTCGCCTTCCTCGTCGCCAAGCTCATCTCCACGGTCATCGCCTTCAAGGAGGACAACCTCCGAATCACCCGCTCCACGCCGACCTCCCCCTCCGCCGCGGACACCCCCGCCGCCCCGGCCCCACCTCCGGCCTCCCTCGACGGCGGCCATGGGGACACCAGCGACGGCAGCGGCAGCGACAGCGACAGCGACTGGGAGGGCGTGGAGAGCACGGAGCTCGACGAGGAGTTCAGCGCCGCCTCCGCGTTCGTCGCCGCCTCCGCTGCGTCTGGCACGAGCGTCCCCGAGCAAGCCCAGCTTCAGCTCTATGGGCTCTACAAGATCGCCACCGAGGGGCCCTGCACCGCGCCGCAGCCGTCCGCCCTCAAGCTCAAGGCCCGCGCCAAGTGGTAGATTCGATCCCCCTGCCTCCCTGATCTTTTTTCTCTTCTGGATTTAGTTCAAGCATCTGTTAGAGTCGGGCTCCGCTTAACCCCCACTGTTTCAGTTCGAGGGTTTAGGGAAATGGATCGAAATTTATCGTTATCTAAGTTTAGGTTCAGTTACTGCTAGAATTGCTGATCACGAAATCTGGTGGTAGGTTTTTTGTGCTTTGCACTGACCAGAGGAGACTCATAAATTCCTGTGTGTTAATCTTGTAGCTATGATTCTTGTTAGAAACTTAACTCATTGTTATTGCCTCTAGGTTTACAGGTTTGGTTCATTGGAAGTGAAATCTCCTGGTAGCTCGATGATCTCACAAATAGTAGCATTCCTCAGTCAGATGCTGCAATTCAACTTACTTTTGCATTATGTTGTTTGATTTATTGTTTCCTGACTTCCTTTGGTGGTTTTGAATTTACCCTTTTGAATTTGGCACTGGAGTCTGAATTAAGATATCTACTGTTTGCAGCTAACTTTTATTAACATCATACTGTTTGTCTTTTGCGCTGTCTATCTCTGTCAATTTTAAAGACTTAATCTAGTTTACAAGTATCCTAATTTTCATATGGTGTCAATATCCAAGGAATGCTTGGCATAAATTGGGTGCTATGCCGACAGAAGAAGCTATGCAGAAGTACATCACAGTTGTGGATGAGCTATTCCCTAACTGGAGCATGGGTTCGAGCACGGTAATTCTCTTATGTCCTCTTGTACTGTTCGTATTTTGCTACTTGGGATCCCATCACTGTATTGGCTTATTTTATAGTCTGCTTTACATGATTCCTGAAAAAAAAAACACCGCTCAATTTGTGCTAGTTGGGATCCCATCACTATATTGGCTTATTTGATAATCTGATTTACATGATTTCAGAAAAGGAAAGATGAAGATACCACAGTATCTGCTTCAAGTTCGAAGGGACCAATGGGACCTGTATTTAGCAGTTTAATGTATGAGGAGGAAGATCAGGGAAATGACTCGTAAGTTTTCGACACGAAGTATATCCTGTACCTTTGGTCTTATTATTATGTGTTAAAACGGCCTTGATTCAAGTTCAGTTAGGTTTGTATTTGGGCATCGTCTCTTATGGCTGATAAATCATAGCAAATAACAATGACATGATTAATTATTTCATGAAGTATGCAACTAATTATCTCCATGTTGGTGCTATTAAGCATTATTTATTCAGTCATCTAGTTACATGACAGTGTTTCCATGATTGCAACAAACTTATCTGTAACTGCAGTGAACTTGGCGATATCCATGTTTCAGCAAGGGAAGGA